GGGGGGTGCTTTCTGAAACAAAAAGTGACAGGTTCTTGGGTGGTCAGAGTGCTGGGCAGGGGATGTTGGATGACATTCCCCAGCCCAGCGGAAAGCTGGACAACTTGAAGGGCCACAAAGCAACAGTACCCCCTAGTGTCTGCTTCAGGCATGGGCTCACTCTCCCAGGGGAACACTGGCTCAGGCCAAGTCTGCCCCTGGACCACTTGAGAATATCATGGGGAGGGGGGTTCCTGAAGGCACACTAGGCCCAAGCCAGGGCCAGACTGTGGGTGTGAGGTACAGGCTGCTGTTCTGGGCTGGGGTAGTTGTCAGGCACAGGAAGCTAGGTTTCTTCACTCCTATCTGCAAAACGAAGGTGGGTGGGAAATAACTGGTGTCTACATTCCACCCTTCTCTGAACTTCAGTGCTTTATAAGTGACAGGACAGAGCTTGGGTAGATGGAACCAGGAGGTATGGCTGAAAGTCAAATGGAGTCTGGGGGATGGAGTAGTGGCAGCTGTGACCTTCAATGGATCTGGTTAGATATCCTGGGCCCGGCCTATCCCCTGGGCCCATTCATTGCCCATTTCTTGCCTTATAATTTCCAGAGAAGAAGAGTTCTCCTCTGGACCCAGTTTTGAAACAATCTCTGCTAGTGGCCTGAACGCTGCCTTAGCCCACTACAGGTACGTCAGTGAAAAGAATTTTCTAGGGCCTCATGGGGGAATTCCAGGGCCTTGCAAAGGGGCAGGGTAGGGGGAAATACTCTGGGGCTTGAGTATTGAATATTGAAGACTTGAGGCCCCTAGGACTGTGGAAGCTGGTGGAGGAGCTCAGTCTGGGGTCAGGAGTCTCAAAATTTAGAGGCCTGAGAGAGGCTGGGTGCAGTGGCTCACACCTGTAATTCCAACACACCAGGAGGCCAAGTGGGTGGATCACTTGAGCTCAGGAGTTTGAGATCATCCTGAGCAAGAGTGAGACCCTGTCTCTATTAAAAATAGAAAAATTAGCCAGGCATGATGTGCACCTATAGTCCCAGCTACTTGGGAGGCTAAGACAGGAGGATCTTTTGAGCCCAGAAATTTGAGCTTGCTGTGAACTAGTCTGATGCCACTGCACTATAGCCTGGGCAATAGAGCAAGACTCAGTCTCTAAATAGATATATGATAGATAGATAGATAGATAGATAGATAGATAGATGACATGAATGATTTCTCCCCCAAGGATCTGGGACTTCATGAGTGCTCAGAGCTGAGGGATTTGGAAGGGAAGCATTGATGCTGATGGATACATTTTCTTGGCTTCCTGTGAGTTATTTCTGTTAGGCAATTCTCAAAGCTCAGGAGCTCACATGGAGAAAGCCCTGTTCACTCAGCATGAACCAGCATAAGTGGCTCCAAGATGTAGACTAACCGGATGTTTGGCCCCATAGAAAACAAATCCCTTCAGGCCTGCCTAATGAAATTTAGGAGGCAGAGCTGACCAGATGCCCCACCCTGGTCAGGCAGGAAGAGGGTGATGCCTTCTAAGGAAGAGCCTGGCATATCCCAGGATTCACTCCCTTGGTGTCCTCTGGTGTCTTTCACCCTCACCAGGCCTAGAGTGTGGCAGAGTGGGTACTCCTCAGCTTTGCCACCTCTTGCTCTCCAGCCCCACCCTCAAGGTACCCTCCCTTCCTGTGTTCTGGCTTCTTGGGGCCCTCTGATCTCAGAGGCAACAGGAAGTTAGAGACAGAGCTGGATGGAGCATCAGCTCCTTAGTGCTTTACTGTGTGGCCTCATGCAAGCCCCTTGCCCTCCGTAGACCTGTTTCTCCTTAAGTAAAAAGAAATGGCGTGACCAGGTAGTCTCTCAGGCTCTCTCAGCTCCCACATTCTAGGCTCTTCCCTTTCTCCCCTCCCTGGTGACCAATGCCTGGCCTGGCCAGGTGCAGGATAAACAGATGTGTGCTGCGGACAGTAGCAGTGCAAACTGAGTACCCTCCCAGGGCCCTTTAGGAGGTAATGACTTTTGCAGAAGAATCAGCCTGAAAGCCCGGCCCCCAGGGGTGGGGGGCGTTCCTTTGCTTTCATTCACAACCCTCACTACCAAGGGCACTTTGGGCTACTCCACTCTCAGCATTTTCTCCCCTTCTCAGCCCAACCAAGGAGCTGAACCACAAGCTGTCCTCAGATGAGATGTACCTGCTGGATTCTGGGGGTCAATACTGGTATGTGCCCCTCACTTTACCCTGACCTGGCAGTCTCAGCTCAGACATCTTGAGCCAATCAAAAGCCTGTCAAAGCTTTCCCTTCCCAGGCCATGAATTCTTCATCTGAGAAAAGAGAGACTTGGATTGAATGACCCCTGAGTATCCTTCCCATTTTCACATGTGAGGGTCCCTGAACAGTGGGAAACACACAGAGGCTAGAATAGTGGGAGTGCCCAGGCAGCATCTCTATAAGAATTAGGAAAAATCTCCCCTCACTGAAGTTAAACATTTTTTTTAAGTCCATGTATTATTGCACAGTCTGAACAGCTATAATCAGACTGTGCCTGGACCCACAAACACACCCATATTCTCACCCACTCATGCACATCCTGGACACAGTCCACACGCCACCTAAACAACCCTTTAGATGTGTTACCCTTGCACAGTGCACAACCTGAACACTCGGGCATGACAGCCATGCAGAATAGGCTAAAGGC